TGGATTTGTCTTCAGTGTGAAAGAGATTGTCACTCTCGAATTGGCCTTCTCAGCCACACTAGACGCTGTTCCAAGTCCTCCATACAGAGCATGTTACCATAGTCTTTCGAGACTGAAGGATGCCTACTACATATTCTTTGAGGAGACTCTTCCCATGTCCCCCAAAATTAAATCAATGCATAATATCTAGTTAATAAGCAGTTAGGAACTAAGGAGTTCTATCCCAAAGTATATGTAAGAGCCAGATTTGAAGAGGCTGCCCTAAAAATTTAGAGCTGCTCCCTCCAGGCAGTGAACCAAAGATAAAAAGCCCAGACATGTGTGCTGGTCCATAAGAAAATTCTCCAAAATCTATATTTGGATCTTATCTCTTTTGTTAGTTTTGATTTTTTTGACCAAACAAAATGTTATGATGTCATGAAAGTCTTTCAAGTTCTCCAGAACTCTTCTTTAGACTGCCTGGCTCATTAAAAAAAAGAAAAGAAAAACAAAAAACAAGATGTAGGGGGACAAGAGATTTTAAAAAGTTCCAAAATTAAGCAACACATTGTACCTATATTTGGATTCAAACCCATTCTCAAGATGGAAACTGCTGACCTAATAAATTAATCACTGATAAAAGCTATAAGGTGGAGAAAGGTATGACCCTCCAAATGTTGTTGGACTGCAATGCAATGACAGATTCCCATTTCTGAAAATCAGAAGCCTAACCGGTACTCCAATCTGTTTTGAGCAAAGCGTACAGGTTCCTAGGTAAACAGAGCAGAAGTAAAAAGAAATGTAATGGTTTTATATTAGCAAAGCAGGGGATTTGTTCTGTTTGCTTTGCTAACCAGTTGCTGCATGATGAGTCATCTGGGAGGAGAAACTTTCTTCTGGAAAAAGTATCGATATTTTAGGTATGGCTCCTCAGTCTTACATTGTGTGTTCCCCACCTTGATCGTTGAAGTGAATAGAAGTCTTTTTTATGAGCTTTTAAAGATATTTGTTGTTGTTTACTTGTTAAGTCATGTCTGACTCTTTGTGACCCCATGGACCAGAGCTCGCCAGGCCCTCCTGTCTTCCACTGTATCCTGGAATTTGGTCGAATTCATGTTGGTAGCTTCAATGCCACTGTCCATCCATCTCTGTTGTCCCCTATTCCTCTTGCCTTCACACTTTCCCAACATCAGGGTCTTTTCCAGGGAGTCTTCTCTTCTTATTAGATGGCTTCAGGATCTTTCCTTCCAGTGAGCACTCAGGGTTGAATTCCTTTAGAATGGATAGGTTTGTTCTCTTTGTAGTCCAGGGGACTCTTGAGAGTCTCCTCCAGCCCCATAATTCAAAAGCATCAATTCTTCGGTGGTCAGCTTCCATACATTGCTGCTGGAAAAACTTTGACTATGTGTGCTGTAACAGGCAGCCCTGACCTCACCTGTCCGTCACAGCTGGGCAGTGAATCATCAGCCAATGGGGTGACGGAGGGTGGGGCTGAAGAGGGAGGAGCTGGAAGAAAAAGTGGTGTGAAGAGTGTGTGAGGGGGATCAGATCTGGAGTGTGAGAGAGAAAGAGCTTGTTTAGAGGCCTGCGTGCCGAAGTGTTCAGTGAGGGAAAGCCTGTGATTGATTAAATAAGAAACAGTGATTGACATCGTGATTAGCTACTTGTGATTTTCATATTTTATTTTGTTATACCAATAAACCAGTTTTGTTTTGAAGGAAACAGTTGTCCTTCTTGAATAGTAATTATAATTGGTGGCAGCAAGTGTGTAGCGGTGTGGGGGGCACCCTGAGAGGGCCTGAGTTGGCAGTGACATCAGAGTGGCCTGCCACGTCACATGTACCTTTGTTGGCGAGGTGATGTTTTTGCTTTTTAAGATGCTGTCTAGGTTTGTCATCGCTTTCCTCCCAAGAAGCAGGTGTCTTTTAATTTCGTGCCTGCTGTCACCATCTGCAGTGATCATGGAGCCCAAGAAAGTAAAATCTGTCGCTGACTCCATATCTTCCCCTTCTATTTGCCAGGAGGTGATGGGACCAGTGGACATGATCTTAGTTAGGTATGGTTGCTCAGTCTTACGTTGTGTAAGACGGATCTGAAAAAAAAATACTGTACTTAAAGAACTGTAAATGTGAATATTGGGGGTGAGGAGGAGAAGGCTGGGATGTAGAGAAGTCTTGGAAACATGCCAAGCCAGCTACGTTGGCTGTGAGCAGTGTGGCCTTGTATGCAAAATACTGAGGTAACAACATTATTCAGATTTTATTATACACATGACTTCTAATAAAAGACAGCAAGGAAAGCCAGCAATTAATATGATTTCTTTCTTATAGGGGCCTGGATCTTAAAGAGTGTGGTTTGCATAGAAAGTCTTGCATCTAGAGTTGCTGTGAACAAAACGGTGTTCACAGGACTATTTTGCTGGAGAGGAGTTGTATTTTATAAGTCCTTCCTTCCTCTTTGCCCCCCAACTAGAGATGGGAGTTTCATCCATCTGTCAGCACAACAGCACAGGTGCCGCACTCTTCCATCCCCCAGCTGACCTGGCCACTCATCGGACTTCGTGTGCTCCTCGGCAGCACTCCGGGCAGGAGCCCAGCTAGCCCGTCCCCACCTCCTCAAGCAGCTGTCCACTCTGAAGAAGGGACGGGACCCTGGCCAGGGAGTTGGAATCTGTGCTGGATTGCAGTCCTTTTTCCACATGGAAAGTTCTCGTCCATTCAGGAAAGGATAATCCCAGGTTCTATCTAATGTATGTTCACAGTGGAGAAATTATTTGAAATGAAAATGTGCTACTCATGCTTAGCTATCACACTGCATCAAAGAATTTCTCTTCCCCTTTAAAAGCAAGGTTGTGTAATTGCACATTGTACTGTATCAACTTTACAGATATGCACCAAAGAGGGAGAGAGTCAAGAAACAAGCAAAGACGAGACAGAGGAAGACATAGAAGTGGCAGATGAAACAGAAGGAGGGGCCAAAATTATGAAAAGGTGAAGAATCATTAGCTTGGCAGGGGCTGGACTTAATGACCCATAAGTGGCCCTTCTATCTTTGCAGTTCTAGGATGATGATGATGAAGTGCAAATACGTTATCAGCTTCTTATGTGCTTATTAAGTACACAAGTAGCCTTGTACAGTGTGCAGCCAGCTTTCACCATGAGTGACTTGAGTAACTTCATCTAGCATAAGAAAAAATGAATCAAAAGTAGAGCAAAATCATATATAATGGGACTCTGCATAATAGAAAAATCAGACTATCACAGTGCCAAGGTGGTTTGAAAGGATGTGTGTTTCTCAGAACAATATATTGTATGAATTGTGAGAAAAGAAAATGCTGTTATACTACTGTAAACTGTGCTCCCTGCTTCTCTCGGAACGCTGAACTCTTTTTTGAGTTGTGCAACTAAAATTATATAGATCAATGTAGTAGATGTTATATGTGATTCAGCTCTGTTAAATGTACTGGGAATTATGCTTTACAGTAGTAAACGTGTGTACTGGGAATTATGCTTTACAGTAGTAGACGTGAATTACACTATAAGGTAGTCCTGCTGTAAGGCACTATAAGGCTTCCATACCATGCAAAATAACTATGTAAAGTAAAATTACTTTTTACTTGCTTGATGTTTCCCCTATGGATCTTTGTTCAGAGCAATTCATCATCTGACACATATAGCGAGGGCCAATTTGCTTATCTGTACTGTATATTAGAAGAAATGTAATTTATGGCTTTGCTTTTTCAATATTTTTACATAATTTGCAGGACTGATTCTCACTGGAGTGCTGTTAAAAAAGCCATCACTGAGGTAAGTCTGTTTCATGACAGAAAAATAATACCTAAAATTAAAATTATTAATTGTTGATAATATGCTTCTTTTGATCAACTATTTGGTTTTACTTGCAAAACAGAACAGCCACTCTAGATATGTTTAATTTTGTATCACATCTCCCAAAGAGTGTTACTATGAATCACATAGTTATTTATGTCCAAGCTGCATTATCTACTAGTTTTCTTCCAGTGATCTCAAGGTGAAGGACCTGACTATTTCCCCTATTTTATGCTGAGAGCAATGCATTGAGATAGATTAGCCTGAGAAAAAGTACAGTGGTGCCTCGCTTTACGAGTGCTCTGTTTGACGACGAAATCGCTTGACGTTGAAGATTTTGCGATCGCTTTTGTGATCGCAAAACAATGTTCCCTATGGGGGAATTTTGCTTTGCGATGATCGGTTCCCTGCTTTGGTAACCAATCATCGCAAAGCGATGGTTTTTCGCACAGCTGATCGGCGCTTTCAAAATGGCCGCCGGGTAAAAAACATGGCCGCCCGCTGTTTTCTGGGACGGATTCCTTGCTGCACAGGCAGCAAAAATGGCCGCGCTATGGAGGATCTTCGCTGGACTGTGAGTTTGAAGCCCATAGGTATGCATTAATTGGGTTTTAATGTGTTTCTATGGGTTTTTTAATATCACATTACAATGTTTTCGTTCAACAGTGATTTTGCTGGAACGAATTAACGTCATGCGAGGCGCCACTGTAATTGGTTCAGAATCAACCAGTGACTTTAATGGCCTAATGTAGTTGTTCTGAACCTTGGTCCCCAGATGTTCTTGAGCTACAACTCCCAGAAATCTTGGCCAGCACAGCTACTGAAGGCTTCTAGGAGTTTTTGTCCAAGAACATCTGGGGACCCAAGATTGAGAACCACTGCCAAATGAGAAGTACAACCTGGACCTCCTAAGTCTTTCACTCTGACCACTAAACATTTGAAAAGGGGACACACAATGCAATACTATGGATGTTCAGTAAGACACAACTACCTTACCAAAAGTTAGGGGGTTTATTGTCAAGTAAATGTGCATAGAATTATACCTACAGGGTATTTCTGTTTGTTGACCAGTAGCTCTTCAAGATACTTGGTCCTGTGATTTCTTTGATCTAAGAACTGAAGACTAATGCCAGAATTAATAAACAGTAGAGATATCAACAACTGAAATCTTTTTTCTAAATGAATAGAATAATACTTTGGATGCTCTTACAAGCATGGGAACAGTTCCTGCTGGATTCCGACCTTCAGCACTTGCACAGCTCTTGGAAGAAGGTAGGAGTTCGCTAAAACTATTCTGTTAAATCTTGAGTCCTTAGCCTGTGAGGCAGGCGTCTGTAAAGCACTGTGGATGCTCACTAGGAGGTGATGGGAGATCTCATTGTAGAGTATAATCCCAGCTAATGTATTTGTGGCTTTTGAACCTTTTAACTTTTCCTTTCTTTTAAAATTGCAGTTTTAGAAGTGGCAGCTCTGTTAGTCTGTGCTAGCATATGAAGAAAATAAAAATTTATTTATTTATTTGATTTATATCCCGCCTATCTGGACCAACGGCCCACTCTAGGCGGCTTCCAATACAAGATAAGACAATAAAAACACAAAACATACATAATCATTCAATAACAGTTATAATAAAGAAAAGAGAAAAAGAGTTAAAGAAAAGTCAGGAATTAGCTGGAGGGAAGGCCTGGATGTAAAGCCAAGTTTTTAATTGGGTTTTAAAAGTACCCAGCGTAGGGGCCGCGCGAATCTCCGAAGGGTGGTTATTCCAGAGGCGAGGAGCCACCGCTGAGAAGGCCCGGTTTCGTGTCTTCTCCTTCCGGGCCTCTCTCAGCGTCAGGCTCCTCAGCCTCACCTCGTGACTCGCATGGGTGATCCGGGTAGACCTTGGGAGTAGGCAAAAATGTTATTGTACATCTTGAAGACTAACTGCTGTATTTTAATCTGAACTGTCGTGGGCAAGTCTACTTCTTCATTCCACTTTCTTGTCTGAGGAAGTGGATTTGTCTGTGAAAGCTCTCATTAAAATATAGCAGTTAGTCTACAAGGTGCTACAATGCTTTGTCTTTATATTTAAAAAAATATTTTTGCCTGACTTTCTTTTTAAAATGCTGCATGGTAGCTTTCATTCATGCTGAATTTTTAAAATCTACATTTATAGTGTAAAGTGTGAATGTGACAAAAACACTTATATAGATTTCAGTGTCATTGAAATCCTAGTTGGGAAATCTTCCTAGCTGTATACTTGATGTCAAACTAGGCCTGCTGCTGTGCAATTTGCAAAACAGACCAACAAACCAAGCACCCTATGGCTTTTGTCTTGGGCCCCCTCCAAAATAGACACATAGAATATAATGGATTAAAACTGGAGTCCCAATCTGTAATTAAGTTATGTTTATGAATTTGAGATGCATTACTTTTAAACACGGTTGAATGCAACAAACAGGGATAAAGGGACAAGGAAGATCACTAGCCTAAAAAGTGCACATTTTTCTTCCAGGAGTGCAGTTTCGGGCATCTTACTACTTACAGCCTGAATTGACACCTTCCAATCTTTCGTTTCGAGATCTTGTGTGGAACCCTGAAAAAGGCACTGTAAGTGTTGCTTTTTGTAAAACTGTATGAACATTAATATCAGTAGGGTAACAGGAGGTGAACAAATTGCTAGATTGATGGATTCTGACTAGACATTATATTATGAAGGAAGCAGCTGAGGACTACAGTCCACAAAAGCTTTTGCCAAATGAAAGTTTGTTAACTCAAAATCCAAGAGAGAAAAAGAGGAGCCATACAGCTATTTTGCTTTATCATCCTTTATTTGCTTCATCACCCTTAACCATGAAATATAATCCCATTATTACATGAGTAGAACTTCCATAAATTCATAACTTTACAAGTAAAAGTTAGACTAATAGTACCGCCTGATGCATACATCCTAATAAACAAATCCATTAAATTTGGTGAGACATACTTCTAGGTATGTGAGATAGGATTTCAGCATTAATGTCTTGTTCTGTCATTTTTTCTTGTTAGATTCAGTCAAGGCCAACACGGATATCACTTGTTTTGACTCTGTGGAACTGTAAAGGGATTCCTTTTCCTGGGCTGAGCATACAGGTCCTCAGTAGACATGTTCGACTCTGCCTTTTTGATGGTAACAAAGTAAGTTCAACAGATCAATTGTCTCCATGGGATAACATTTATTTTATTTGTATTCCATGAGCAAGCCACCTAGAGTGGTTGAGTAGACCATATAGAAAATCCCTCACTCAACAGGGGTTGGGGGCCTTAGATACAATCTGTCTCCTTTTTATCATGCTGCCCTTTCATCCCACCCCAGAAGGACTAGGGACACACACAAGAAAGATCACTATTAATGACCATCAAGGACCCACGACAATGGGTAGAGAAGGACTTCAGAAGTGGGATTATCCCTCTCCTCCTTTGTCCTTCTAAGAGCCTATTCAGACCAGGGGGAAGGGAAAACAACTGCAGGATATATCAGGGATCTCCTACCAACTCTCCTCAGACTGAAGAAGCTGCTTGGATGAGTAGCAAAATGTTTCAACCTAATAAGAAAGAAGTCCAGTTGCCATGACTCAACTTCCAGATACATGTAACCTGTGAGCTTTTGTTTGCCTACCTTTGGCACACACACTGAAATGCATGGCTATCATGATTTTTGCAACACTATTTTTCAATTCAAGTATTAAGCTGATAAGTATTATATGTTCTGAGAGGCCGCACACTTTTTAAAAGAATTTGGTAATAATGTTTACATTATTTGTTGAGAGAGCCTCGTGGCACAGTGGTTAAATTGCAGCCAAAACTCTGCCCATGACCTGGGTTCAATGCCAGGTCCCTGGCTCAAGGCTGACTTAGCCTTTTTCTCTTCCAAGATTGGTAAATTGAGTACTCAGCTCGTTGGGGATGGGGGCAATGTGTAGCCTGCATAATCAAACTTGTTAAGCATCCAGAGAGTGCTTTAAGCACTATGGGGTGTTATATAAGCAGCACATTTTGCTTTGCTTTTTTTTCTGTAGAACAATCTTCTCCCAAGATGGTGCTGTCCAGGTAGATTAGACTGCAGTCACATTTTCACTGTGCTAATTTGGGATGATAGAATTTGCAGTTCAATCAATCAATCAATCAATCAATCAATCAATCAATCAATCAATCAATCAATCAATCAATCAATCAATCAATCATATAAGGGACATTAGACCTGTAGGAGGTGCTACGAGTTATTTCAGAAACAGAAACCTTTTCTTATCTAAAACCACAGTTTTGATGCCTTTATTTATTTTGTGCATTTATGTCGATTTCTAAGCCTCAGTCTTGCACAGGGGCTAGGAGGAGATTATAATTAAAACCAGTGGTCAAATAATGTCAAGAAAATAAATTAAAATATCCACTGAATTTTCTGAAATGTTCTCCTTTTCAAATTACTTCATGTATGTTACCCACAAGCATTACTGGTGAGCTCATATTAAAGAAAATCTCTTTATATATAACTTTTTCTTAGTCATTTCAGACCTTTTTAGGCGTTAGTTACTTTGTATTTGCTACATAACCATTCTAAACTTTAGCTGTCTCATTCTTTGTTTTTTATCTGAATCATGGATTTCACAATGCTTAGCTCTGAATGCTTTCTTCAGAATATGGGATTGAAATATTTAATGTCAGTCAAATGAATAAGTATTGAGTTTTCCTTCTTGTTCGAGGGCAAAAGGCAAATCAGCTGTTACATCTCCCTTCAGCTGAATATATATTTAATGATTCATAAAACAGACTTCGGAGTTATGTGAGCTAAAGAAAGTGAAAGCTGATTTTGGAATGTAATAGTTGGACTCCTTTTCGATTCAACTTCTTTTTTCTTTACACTGAATGAAATTAAGTGCATTCGGTTCTTAGTCTTCCCCATGTTTTCTTTTCTCACTTTAGATCTTGAGTAATATTCATACTGTTAGAGCTACATGGCAACCTAAAAATCCAAAAACATGGACCTTTTCACCACGGGTAAGTATACAGACAAGATTGAAGGCAGATTTAATATGTTAAAGAATTGCTCAGTCATACCAACGTTCCATTGGCTCCAGCATCGTGTTCCCCCACACTAGTGAACCAAATCCCTTATTTGCCCTGCTGGAAGGCCCAGCTAAATAGCTTGCAGGGGAGGGGGCATTTGTATTCTCTCTACAAATGTAATAACAATCATCATGTGCTATCAAATCAGTACCGCATTATAGCGAAGTTTACTAGAGTTTTCTTGATACATAATATTTGGAAGTGATTTACTACTACTTCCTTCTGGACGTGCTCTGGTAAGGCAGCATATAAATAGCTTAAAGCAAAATGAGAAAAGAAGAAAACTACCTGGGAGTTAATCCCTCTCCTCAGTATTGTGGCTCCAGTTGAATCCATGCCTTCCTTTGACACATTAAACAGTTACTGAAATAAATTAATATTACTAATCATTTTGTGTTGCCAAGTCAATTCTGACTTATGATGACCCTTTTCAGTATTTCTAGGCAGAGAATACACAGAAATGGTTTACCATTTCCTTCTCCTGAGGGCATTCTGGGATTGTGCAGCTTGCCAAAGGCCACACAGAGTGACTCTTCTGGGATGCACAGTGGGGAATTGAACTCCCAGCCTCTGGCTCTACAGCCAGATGCCTAACATGCCAAGCTATGGAGCCAGTTTAAAAGAAATTAGGCTTTAATGATTTGAGACAAGTTACAGTGGTGCCTCGCTAGACAGTTACCCCGCATGACAGTTTTTTCGCTAGACATTAACTTTTTGCGATCATTATATCATCTCCCAGCCTCTGGCTCTACAGCCAGATGCCTAACATGCCAAGCTATGGAGCCAGTTTAAAAGAAATTAGGCTTTAATGATTTGAGACAAGTTACAGTGGTGCCTCGCTAGACAGTTACCCCGCATGACAGTTTTTTCGCTAGACATTAACTTTTTGCGATCATTATATCAGCTCGCAAAACAGTGATTCCCATGGGGGAATTTCGCTGGACAGTGTTTGGTCCCTGCTTTGCAAACCAATTTTTGCTAGACGACGATTTTGACAGCTCCCTCTGTGCTCGCAAAACAGGTGTTTTCGGGACCTAAGCTTCGCAAGACAGCTATTTAAATAGCTGATCGGCCATTCGCAAAGCCGATCCTATGGCTGATCATCGCTAGACAATGATGATTCTTCCCCATTGGAATGCATTAATCAGGTTTCAATGCATTCCAGTGGGGAAATGCTTTTCACTAGACAATGATTTCGCTAAACAGTGGTTTCAGTGGAACGGATTATCATCATCTAAGAAGGCACCACGACGACGATTTTGACAGCCCCCTCCATGCTCGCAAAACAGGTGTTTTTGGGACCTAAGCTTCGCAAGACAGCGATTTAAATAGCTGATTGGAGGTTCGGAAAGCCGATCCTATGGCTGATCATCGCTAGACAATGATGATTCTTCCCCATTGGAATGCATTAATCAGGTTTCAATGCATTCCAGTGGGGAAATGCTTTTCACTAGACAATGATTTCGCTAAACAGTGGTTTCAGTGGAACGGATTATCATCATCTAAGAAGGCACCACTGTAATAGGAAGCAATATATAAATGGGATGAAGCATTATGAATTCTTCAGCAGGTGGCAGTGTTTCTTCTGAATCAGCACTGCAATAAATCCAACTGATGAGAGCTGTATAGAGGTGGATAGTTATGTATTCCTTTATAAGAGGTTCCTTAAAGGCAAATACTTCGAGTGCAAAATTTCTGTCTACTGTTTTAATTGTATCTTATCTCAGTTTTTACTAGGGTGCTGGATACTCTTCCTTATAACGATTTCAGTGGAACGGATTATCATCATCTTAGCGAGACACCAATGTAATAGGAAGCAATATATAAATGGGATGAAGCATTATGAATTCTTCAGCAGGTGGCAGTGTTTCTTCTGAATCAGCACTGCAATAAATCCAACTGATGAGAGCTGTATAGAGGTGGATAGTTATGTATTCCTTTATAAGAGGTTCCTTAAAGGCAAATACTTCGAGTGCAAAATTTCTGTCTACTGTTTTAATTGTATCTTATCTCAGTTTTTACTAGGGTGCTGGATACTCTTCCTTGTAACATAAGTTTAAACAAGCCCATGATGTCAGGTTCCAACACAGTGGCTGAAATCCTGTTTGGTGTGTAAGCCCATGTGTAACTTTCCATCATTCCAACACAGTGGCTGAAATCCTGTTTGGCATGTAAGCCCCAGTGTAGCTTTCCTTCGATTCCTCTCTGGTAAACAAAGCACCACTGCTGTGATTCTTGCGGGGAGGGGAATGTTTTGTTTACCAGAGAAAAACAGCGGTGCTTGGGTTTACGCTACAAACAGGATTCCAGCCTATAAGTGCCCCCTCCCTTTTAGCAACATGGATGTAGAACAAGGGCATGGAAATATGTCATGTGATTGTGCAACCTTGTCCATTTCCTTTACTATACATTAGTCAGGGAGAGAATGCCTAAAATAAAATTTGGGGGGCAGCTATGTGTTCTTCCTTACACCTGTAGTTCTGTGTTTAATTTGAGTGGGTTTCTATGTAGAATTTGAATGAATCGAAGCGCCCAGTGATGTGCTGAATCTTTTGCTTATGCAATAATTGAGCTTTGTTTTCTCCTGGATCAACACATTGATGGAGGGAATGCTCAAGATAATGGGTTCCCAACCTTGGGTTCCCAGATGTTCTTGGATTGCAGCTCCCAGAAGCCTTCACCACTAGCTGTGCTGGCCGAGATTTCTGTGAGCTGTAGTTCAAGAACATCTGGGGTCCCAAGGTTGGGAAGCACTGCTCTAGGATAAAGTGCATTAAAAACATTAAAGCCAGTTGCAGACAGATATTCACTAGTGACTACTCATGGGGTTGGATCCATGGTTGCCATGAGCAGAAATTTGCTTAAAAATGTCTGTCTGCTGAAAGAAATAGGGGCAAAGGGAACTATTTTTGCGTATTCCAACTCTCTCATTCCTCCCCTGAATTTGTTCGGGAAAGCTGGGGACGCTCTGAACAGTGTGGGAATTGCACCTGGGGTTGGTCATTCAGGAAGGGAGAACTGATGAAAGCTCTCCCCTTTTCTCCAGTGGGGGATCTCTATTGCCTCTCAGATTCTTCCATGAACAAAAAGAGGCCTTCTTTGTGAGGAGGCAAGTCTGAGCCCTGCCTTTGAGGTCAATATAAAACATAACACCATCCAAATTGTGTAATTTGGCTGAGTCTTTCGAGAGTTAGCACATTGACATACCACCAGATGATATGGAAAGACACGATGGCTATGATTGAAATTAGCAGTTTCAGATTTTTTTAAAATTGCAAAAGGAAGAATGATACTTTTGTTTCCTACAACTCCTTAAAGATATTCTAGTTCAGATTGTTGTTGCTGTTTCCCTGTTTTATAGGTCACTGGAATCTTGCCATGCTTGCTTGATGGTGATTGTTTTATTAGATCTAATTCATCATCTCCAGACATTGGCATATTATTTGAACTTGGGATCACTTACATTCGCAATGTAAGTTCAGAGGGATGACTTAATGCATGAAACTATATTTAAGACAGCCTTTCTGGGTTGATGCTCTTTATAGAAAAAATTCAGCATCACAACCCACAGGAATGAAGTGTGGGTAGGTTTCAGCATTAATAGAATGTCAACTTTCCATTAGAACAGACACCTGTTTAAAATGTTTCCTTGCAATTCTCCTGTGAAGTAATTTGGCAGCCTAATAATTAAGTATACATACTTATGATTAAGATACGCAGAGAGTTTTAAATATTATAAATCTGTGTTGATGTACAAAAGAGAATGATAATTGTCAAGATTTTTTTCTGCTTTTTTAGTGACCCATGAAATATCAAAGTGCTTATAGACTTTTAAAAAAAATCTGTGATCGTTAATGCTAGGACTCTGAAGTTGTTGCTCTGTTGTCTAGATAAATGACTGGTCCTTGCAAGTTGCCAGAGGAAATACGTTATATGGGCGATTGTTTTGGCGATAGCAGTGATCAATAGACTGGTCCCATTTTTTTAACTCAGAGCTAGATAAAAAGGTACCAGCCAGATGTCACAGGTTTCAGATCTTCCACAGAGATGGGGTAGGATGTGGGCCCAATTCAGTTCTTGTTGTTTTCTGTTGTTTCTTGTTGAGCAGCCTAGGGTAATCAGTTTCATTCACTTTATTCTCCAGTCAACAGGTGAGAGAGGAGAATTAAGCTGTGGCTGGGTATTCCTAAAGCTTTTCGATACCAATGGACTTCCAGCTTCTTCCAAGTAAGTTTCCTCCGTGAAAGGGTGTGGGGAAAAGGTTAAAACAGAGCCAATCAGTTGGTGTGGTTGGTGTTTCCTGCTACAAGCCAGGTGCAATAAATGAAAAAAAATCCTACACTGATTAAGCCAGAAATTCAAGCTGAGTATTCAGCAACACTGACACACTTCACATCTAGTATTTTTTATTCCATTCATGAGCTGGTTTCTACATTGTTCAAGGGCCAGTTGAATTTCTTGGAGATCACTGTGCATTGTGAAGAGGGAGATAATTGCTGATAAATGGCTACAGAAAATTATCTGCAGCTTCCAGGCTAAAATATTTCGAGGCATATGTCTCCCCATCACAGGCAGTCATCATGACAAGACCAGTCTTTATCTTTTTTATCTATGTAATGCCGCCCCGAGTAGACATGGTCTAGAGGGGTGGGGTAAAAATCTAATAAATAAATAAAATAAATAAAATTTATTATTTCCATGTCATTAATATTATTATTGGTTACCTTAGTATTATTCCTAATCTCCAAGGCAGCATGCATGGCTCTCTTTCTCCCTACTCTGCCCACACAACAACCCTGAAAGGTAAATCAAGCTGTGAGACTGGGTCAGAGTCATCCAGTGGGTTGCATGGCTAAGAGTTTGAACCCAGAGTCCCTAAGTTTTCATTCGGCATGATAAAAAGAGACATGCTGGTTTATAAATACTACAGTCCTCTGCTGTTCAGAAGTGTGGATTGGCTTGAAGAATCAGTAATGAGGCATTGCGTTGCAAAATTATGTGTGTGGACTTATTTTCAAACCATATTTAAAAGTTGGTCACTTGTTTAAGAAACATAACACCATGAGGAACTGTTACATACATATTTCATCACACAGCTTTACAAAGAGTGTGGCCCTTATCTTCCCTAAATGTTGCTGGCTTCAGAAGGGATGAGGGAAGGAGGATGTCAATACTTTTTGGACTGTCAGTGCACCTGTTCAGGAGATTTACAGAAGTTCAGCAAAGGTTTAGGAGGGAAAAAGCATCTCAGGATCTTTACCTCACTCATTACCTTAATTAACTCACCACATATATGTCTGTAGGTTGCATCTGCCTCTCTGTTAGCAATGTACTTTCTGCTTTTTTTCATGGCCTTTTTCTTTAAAAAGCTTGTACCTTTTTTGCCCATTCTCTCTGCTTGACTGTAAGGCCTGCTTACGTACAAATTAGTAAACATTCCTTCCTGTCCTCCTCCCGGAGTTCAGTCAAGCTTACTTAATATAATAGTATATTTGATTTTAACTTAAAAAAACTTGTACAACAGGCAGGGCAGGATCAAAACTGATTGATAGTATTTAGTGACAGACCTTTTCCACCCAAGCATTCTTACAGTTTTTGCATTCCAGGGACTCTGCCCAAGAGAGGTGTTTTACTCATCATGCCACAAATACTTGCGCTGGGTTGTGACATTGCCATAGGAACTATTTATTTTGAGGTTTCTGCTAAATGTATCACAAAAACTGGAGTTAATACTGAAACTATATACAGCTTACTAACTGTTTCTGACAGTATTACATTTTGTTGAACAGGCTACTTTGGAATGATCTACAGTGTTTTGTTGTGGTTTTGTTTTTACTTTGGTACAAATTTTGCCAGATTATCTGAGTCAATACAGTTTCAAAGCAAAAGGTATGCTTGTGAAATTGCTTTTTTTCTTTGCTTTTTTTTTTTTGCAACAATGTGATCATATTCTACTGCATGATGACTGGCCCATAAAGAAGAGAACACCCGTACCAGGTTTACATTGTCTTAAATCAGTGTTGGAATTTGGCAGGAAGAGACAGGTACAAAGAGTACTGGCAAAACATTTCACTTACATTTATCATCACGTTTAGACTGCCAGTGTAACATTATAGGAATTTCCATGCAGCACAAAATCCAGTCATTTTTGCCTGACAGGAAATTGTGTTGGATTGATGAACATTTTGTTTTCTTTGGTAAAAGTAACAGGTAAAACAAGATGATAAATTGTTGCCTATTCAAATAATGAGGAAAACGGGTGGTCCCCAAGCTGCCTGCCCTTGTTCAGCGACAGTTAATACTGGCTGTTATTTATGATTTTATCCCATCCTTCCTCCAACAATCTCAGGTCAGTGTTCATGATGTCCAGCTTTTTTCCACAACATATATACATATGTATATGTGTGTGTGTGTGTGTGTATACACACACACACACACATATATATGTGTGTGTGTATGTTGTGCAAAAAAGCTGGACATCATAAACACTGACCTGAGATTGTTGGAGGAAGGATGGGATAAAATTATAAATAACAGCCAGTATTAACTCTCGCTGAACAAGGGCAGGCAGTTTGGGGACACAACACACACACAGTCTGACCTACTATATATATATAGTAGGTCAGACTGACAAGCTCAAGGTCTCCCACCAGTCTTCTTGATTTGATTTGAACCAGACCTTTGTTACAGTTGAAGGAGAAGAGAAGCATCCCAAAAGCACACTGAAGACAACACTGAAAGATTTTAATATTGACCACATCAATTACTTTATTGCTTCATAGCCAGTCAGGGTGTACGCATAAAGAAAAATTAAACCACTCAAGAAATAGTGTATTTGGCACCTAATACAAGTACATATAAACAATCAGAAAAGCATAAAATAATAAAATAAGCATTCTCAAACAAGTATCAAGTTGTGAAATTAACTTGCAGAGCTTTTGAAGCAGGCAATGAGTTCTGTCTTTCCATGGATTGTTGAATGAATTTAGCAATCCTATAGATATATACCATTTCCCATACCAATTGGGAAGCTGCCACTCAAAACCAAAGTGCTTGGCAAAACACTGTTAGACAAGGGACTGAAGAGTTTGAAATAAAAAGAATGAGGGATGTAAGAAGAGAAAAGTAAAAAAACAAAAATAAGCATGTAACATTTTGGCAGCCCAATAAGCCTGAAGTCAGCTAACCTGTCCCTATTTAGGTTCTGTATCTTCTGGGCTTGTATTGGGCTGGTTATTCACCTGCATGTCCATCAGTATTGCTATTGCTCAACCTTACCATTTCTCTTTGTTTTCCTAAATACAGTAATAAATCTGATGGAGATGGCCATATCTGAAAACAAAGGTTTAGCTGTATCATATACCTTGGGACAATATTCATATCTCGCATGTCTGCCTCGGACAGAGGCATACAAGGCATTTCATATCAAAAGCTCAATAAAGGGAATAGCTAAAAAAATTTGGAATAAAATGAGCAGAGCATGGAGGTAACACAAAAACAGTATAACATGTTGTCAGGGAAGAAAACACGCCCAGGTCAATCAACTAGTCAATCAGCCTTGAAAAAAAGTAACAGTTTGGGAAATGGCTAATATAGCAGTCACAGGGCGAGGTGCTTTAAAAATATATGACAATTTCAAAAGGAGCTCTTAGGGAGTGAGCTGTTTCAGCAGCAACAAAACCAAAACCACTTAGAAGCTCACAAATGTACTTCAGTACATGTTTTTGTGTGTTGTGATCTGTTTTTTAATATATGTCCAAAGAACCTTGAAAACATACCTTTGGGGAATCAGGTTGAGATGGGAGGCCTGTTTTTTGTCACTTCTGATTTATGGTGATTCTAATAGGGTTTTCAAGGTATATAAGATTATCTTATGAAGGTATGTTACTAGGAATTTGGGAGAGGTATGTGTAGTTGAGTTTTTGAAATTCAGTAATATAATTTTTATATTATATGGTCCATGGGGTCACGAAGAGTCAGACATGACTTAACAATGAAACAACAACAATATAATTTTTTATTTGGAAAAGGGAGGAAAAAGCTATTTTACCATTGATTTCTTAGTACAAGGTTATTAGGACTCATGTTTCTTCTATCTGTGAATTATGCCTTTCAACAAGTCACCTGTATAATTTTTGGTTAAAATATCTCCTTGTTTATCCCCAAACAAGTGAGCAGCTGCTGTGTGTCAACATCCTATTTTGTTCAACTAACTGTTGTGAAGCCGTTCTTTTCCTTCTGCTTGTAGCTGTAAAAACAAAACATTGCAACAGGTTTGGCACTGAAAACTGCTTGTATTTTGCACTATATCAGAATTCAAAAGCTTGCGGTGAGCAGACAGCTTCAGTGCTCACAATAACTGAAGCAGCATCTGCATGTTTGTTTATCAATGTAAAAATAAGTAAACCAAACCGCCTTACAGTTACTTTGACTTATTTTTAGTTACCGTATTTCAGATTTCATATAAAATTATTGGAGAGACACTTTTGACGGGAGCATAAGATTTTTATGTTTATCAGAAGGTGATAAGAATTAAGAAAGATTGGGAAACACTCCTACAGGTCATTGCAACCCTGATGCTGATAGTACAAGGGCTTTTAAAGAGGGAAGAGTTGGCCTCCCCAGTTACTAGGGGCAGGATGCTAATTCCAAATCATAAAGTATCCATTAAAATATATAAAGGTTCCCCTTGACATTTAGTCCAGTTGTGTCCAACTCTAGGGTGCGGTGCTCAACCCTGTTTCTAAGCTGTAGAGCCAACCTTTCTCTGGAGACAGTTTCCATGGTCACATGGCCAGTGCGACTAGACATGGAACACCGTCACCTTCCCACCGAGGTGGTGCCTATTTATCTACTCACATTTTAACATGCTTTCAAATTGCTAGGTTGGCAGGAGCTGGGACAAGCGACGGGAGTTTACTCTGTCAAGTGGATTTGGTCCATTTGACCAAAAAATATATAGATCGATGTAATATTTAAGAGAGATGTATTTTTATTTCGATGAATTCTTTTTGTAGAAGGTTGTCAAACTACTGACATTAAGAATAATTTACAGTAGACTTTCTTTCCTTGATTTAAATGCTGTGCTGATTCAGAAGAGATACAATGCTGTAACTGGTGGATTGCAGAATTTTTAACTTTCGTAATTTGAGAAAAAGCACCATTTTCATTTTCATCTTTTCTCTGACCAGAATCCTATTGAACTGATGAAGCATAATTCGGAGGATGGTACAAGCAGGCCTATCTGTCTGACTTGGTGTCCTCTGCATGCCCTCATTTCCTCTGGTTGGGACAGAGGTTGCATGCCCAAGCACATGATGGATGGCAGGCTAGAAGGAAAAAACTTCTGTACAACTACTCTTATGCAGTAGTTGTTCCCAGTAAGTTTTTGGTCATTATGTCATAAAGAAGCTTACATGCCTCTCTGTTTTGTATATTTTGCAGAACATATGAGCTGTTTTTGAATGGTGGGACTCCATATGAAAAAGGAGTTGAATTAGATCCATCCATTTCAAGACGAGGTATTGTTTAAATTTAGAACATTCCTTATCTTGCAATACAGGGTAATTAGTAGACAGAGCCTATACTATACGGTAGCAATTCCCTGTTATTTCATTAATTTAGAAAGTTCTCAATAATTGGTGAGCCCAATTCAAATTTAAAACAGAAATGTGACCTCCAAATCTGTCAGTTTTCATTCTGAGAGCATGAAATAGGGGAGATAGGGAAAGATTAGCAAAATAAATTAAGTAAGATGTAAAAGTCATACTGAACAAAACCCACGTTTTACTCTACATAAACTGTAATGTGTAAAAATTCCTGCAAGAGAAGATGAGAGCAGCGATACTAATCAGACCAAAGATCTAAGTAATCAGCATTCTGTTCCTACAGTAGCCAGTTAGATACCTATGGGAACCTCAAAAGCTTGACATGAATTTATATTCCCCAACAACTGGTATATTTCCCAGTGGCGATTACAGGAAGTAACACCACTGTAATATGACTGATAAGAATTATCAGTTATGTGATAAGAATTAAGAAAGTTTGGAAAGCACTCCTACAGGTCATTGCAACCCTGATGCTGATAGTACAAGGACTTTTAAAGAGGGAAGAGGTGGCCTCCCCAGTTACTAGGGGCAGGATGCTAATTCCAACTCATCCATTTTAAATATATATATATAGGTAAAGGTTTCCCTTGACCATTAGTCCAGTTGTGTCCGACTCTAGGGTGCGGTGCTCATCCCCTATTGCTAGTCATATGCTCCACAGTTTTTTAAAAATCTCCTTTTAAAGCTCTCCATTTTGCTTGCCATCACTATATCTTGTGACAGAGAGTTCCACAGTTAACTCTGTTTTCTGTAAATACTTCCTTTTATCTATCCTTGAATCTTCTACCATCCATCTTTAGCAGAAGACCCTCGGTTCTAGCATTAGGAGAGGGAAGTGAATGTCTCCCTATCTGTGTTCTTCATGCTGTCCATAATGTTAGAGACCTCTCTCATACCCCTGATGTGTCTTCCCTTATTCGCCCATGATAAAATACTGAATACTTCTGTCAGAGGACAGTTGATTCAGCCCTTTGATAATTTTGGTTGCTTTTTTCTGCTCTAACACTGGAGGCATTTAAGGGAAAGTGAGACTGCCATCTGTCACATGGCAATGTGTTTCAGCTATAAGGGGAACCAAAATAGGCCATGTAATTCAAGTAGGGCAGAACCAGGAAAGAGGAGGCGGGGACGACAGAGGACGAGATGGCTGGACAGTGTCACTGAAGCTACCAACATGAATTTGACCAAACTTTGGGAGGCAGTGGAAGGCAGGAGGGCCTGGCGTGCTGTGGTCGATGGGGTCATGAAGAGTCGGACATGACTTAACGCCTAAACAACAACAGAACCAGGAATGTGAAAAATAAAAAGTAGAGAGTGTCTGAGATCTAAGTGAAATTTACATTAGCTGTATAGGGTGAGAAAATGAGTACATGCAAAAACTTTCAGAGATACTTATTGTTGACTCTAGGATTGACACAAATAATTTTATATCTTATTTGTTTTACTAAAGCTGGCAGTAGTGTTTTCCAGCATATGATAACGTTAAGGAAGCAGCCACAACTTCTAGTGAAACTGAGGTCCTTAAGCACACAATCCAAAGATATACTGAAGTAAGTGAACAAGCTTTGCACCTGATTTCTCATGTTGTTTGCATTGTAATTTATATTACATTGATATGCAATTTTCCCCCATATAGATGCATATTTTGCTTTCAAAATTATCATTGGTTTAAAAATGAATGGTGAAGTATTTCCACATAATATTAGACATTACCTAGTGTAAACCTGGAGTAAAATTCTGTAATGTGTAGTAGAAGCTTTTGTACCACTACATGTTAACTACAAAATCCTTACACTAGGTACATGATAGCTATCAGATAACATTGTTATTACTAAATGCTGTTGCTAGTCAACCATCAAAACCAAAATGTGCATAGGGACAGAACAGAGTAGCAAAAGAGAAGATGGAGGGAACCCGCACAATAACTTTTAGCTTAGCTAAAAGCTTAGCATAATGCCAAAATATGAGGAGTATGAAAAGTAGTATGAATGAAATGATTCCGTGAAAATAGGTATCTCCAACCGATAAATCAGAAGACTTAAACCTTTCTAGAAGATAATGCAAGAACTTCTCAAAGGAAACTTTGCTTTTGGAGAAAATGAAAAATTCCTCCTCTAAGCTGATACAGTATGAAAATCAATAATTTTTGTTCAGTGGTACCTTATTGGAAACATACCCCCCCCCAAAAAAAGCCTGGAAGGTAAAGGTATGGTATTCATAACCTCTTTTACTAAGAGACCTGAAAACCGATATACACCTCTTCTGGTTAGTTAGCCTTAATCAAGTTTTTGTTTAACTGTCTTTTCCACATCCTATTTAATGCCAGAACTTGTCAATAGCCAAGGGGGCTGTATAGTGTGAGTAAAATAATGTCCATTTTACTACATTTTCATTCTGAATTGGATGTGCTGAAGTATTTGAGGAGTAGCTTTAAGCATCAACATGCTTTCTTCTGCTTTTTTCTTAACCAGTCTATTACCAGAAGTATTAATTGGCAGCATGTGCTATATACACCTCCTACTCTTTTATCGTCAGATTATTGGTGATGTGCTCCTCAGGGACAGGCTGAACATGCAAAATGCAGGTAAGCATGGTGCTTTTCATGGTGAAAAAGGAGCATGTCCCTCCTGTACTATGTACCTGTGCACATAGAAAATATATCTAGAATACCAAAATGCCACACTCAGTAATAGAGCATATGAGTAAATTAGAAAAAGTCTTCCAACTCTCCAAAAGAATGGGCATCTTGCTGTCTTATGAGTCATTAAGCCACATCTGACTTAAGCTGACCCTAATAGAATTTCAAGGTATGTGATGTGAAGGAGTGGTTTTGCCAAAGCCATTCCTTCATGAGTTTCCAGGGCTGAGTGGAAATTCAAAACCCAGTCTCTTGATTGTAGTCCATCACTTTGTCCACTGGTTTATATGTGCAATTTTTGCAACTGTCCATTTTCTACCCATTCTTGGAAGGCTGGTATATCAATATACAACATTTCCCATTTATGTAGATTATATCTAAACAATATTAGGACAGCTAATATTGTGAAAGGCAAGCGGCAGAAGTGATGAATGTGCTTATTGGGTAAGCAAAGTGGTTAGTGAGCTCAAACTATCCTATAGAGCAGTGGCCCTCAAGCTTGGGCCTCCAGATGTTCTTGGACTTCAACTCCCAGAAATCCTGGCCAGCAGAGGTGGTAGTGAAGACTTCTGGGAGTTGTAGTACAAGAACATCTGGAGGCCCAAGGTTGGGGACCACTGCTATAGAGCTTGGAAGAAATTTTTGATAACTCTTAGAACACAGAGACAATGTGGGTTGGGTGGTAGCCATGTTGGCTGGAGGATTCTGGGAGCTGTAGTACAAAAAAGAGTAGTTTTTTCCGAGTTCAGAAAATTACATTGCATGTAGAGCCCTTCATTGCATTATGGATGTGCTGTGTTATAAATAAAGATCCTCTTGAGAATTTCCTTACCATTTTCTGTGCTTGTTTCTTATAAAATGCAATTGTAGGAAGTGTATTCGCTGAAACAATACTGCCTTTTCTGTAGTGGTATCCTTGTTTCACTTCACATGTGTAATAATGATGAATTATTAAGGGCTTTTGATTTCTGATATTTATTTCTTTTTAAACCAATTTAAAACCAATGGTAAGCCTAGAAATATGAAAAATGCTAAAAAAAAATTAGGTGTATCTGGGACAGCCACTTGTAGTTTTGATTTTTTTTTCGGGGTAAGGTTTGTTTTCTTTTTTGAGAGGTGTCTGGGAGCACTAAAATATGTTTTTTGTAACCATTTAGGAAAACAAATTGCCATGAGGGTGCTCTGTGGGGACTTGGGGGGATGTATAAATACTCTTGGGGGTTCTATAAATGATGTGTGGGCTATATTTTGCCCACCTCTGCTTTAATGAAGACTGCTACAAAATACTACTTTAAAAAGACTGGAAGCATCCACTAAATTCATGAATGAACAAACATGAGGTCCTTATCTTATAGTTCAGTTGCAGTGTTTGAAGTGTATAATTCCTAACTGGCTGCAGTTCTCAATTGTAAATTTTCTGTAGTTGGAAGCTTTGTATAGAAATCAGGCTGTGCAAATGCCTGTTAAGCTTGGTTAAAGAATCTCACAATATTTGCACTCTTTTGCTTAATAATAAATGTTATATAGTTCATTGCACTTGATGTTTTATTTAATCTCTAAATAATAGATTCTTGCAAATACTTACCAAAATGACAATACAGCGCTGTGCACATATTCACAAAATTTAACTCCATTTTTATTATAGTAGGCACACCCTCCAAAATGAAAACCAGTACTAGTTTCCTTTACCAGACCATTTACTTCTGGTGACTCTTGCCAGAAGTTTTAAACTCATAAGTGACAAGAACAGAGGGGTCACCCACTTTTGAGTACCTAGTACTGAGTTCATACTATTCCTTATTTCCAATATAAGAACCAATCTGAATTTCCTTTTTTGGACTCATTTATATGTGTTGGAGTTCAAGATTTTTGTATACCTCATGAAGGGGGTACAGTTGACGAAGAATTAGTACATGCCTTTCTTAACATACCTCAGGCTTAACTTTTCTGCCAGCTCCTGAGGTATTGAAGAGCGGGTGGCTGTAATCTTCAGGTTCTCCCTATAGGCTTCCAGAGGCAAAATGCTTATTTACTTACTTATTTACTGTTCAAAGCATCTAGTATTTTATTATTTATCTATTTATTATTTGTTGTTTAAATTTATTCTTAGATTTTATTTTTATTTCTGTCCATACATCCAGTACTGCACCATTGCTGATAGATATTACAGTCTAAATGAAGTGTTCTAAATATTAGAGAACTAGTTGCTGCTGCTGCTACTATGACTACTATATAATTTGATTGTCTTTTTGATTGGAGGATTGTGCTGGAATTTTCCTTTTTTCTCACAGATATTATTTTTTTGCAGCCAATCCTACCACAAAAAGCAAATGTGTTCTTGTTTTCCCCCTTTTTGCTGTGTTGTAGACTGTCTTCTGTTGATGTTCAGAATCTTGAAAGGCCAAGGCAAGCCATGAAATTCCTCTACAAATTGTGTCTGTCTTGCATAATACTCTGGTAATACATCTATAAATAAATTTTGGTCCACGTTGCAGATTTGATCGGCAATCCAATTTTGGCAACATTTCCCAAACTCCTGGAACAGCCTGATCTTATGGATGCGCTCAGGGTGGGTGAAATGTATTGTGTCACTAATCTTAAAGGACAGCTCAGATGAAAGTCTGTTTCCTTCCAGCTCAAGAGGGCTGAATGCCTTTGTATACCCGTCTGCACACAGCTGTTTTAAGCAGTTGCTCTGATGATATTATGCTGTAAGCAAGGTAAACAGAAATAGTAATGAAATGCTCAAAGTTTTTGGAAAGACGTGACTTGGGAGGATCTGGGATGCAGTGACCGGGTGTAGTATGTTGAAAGAAAAGCTCTTATGAAGTTTGATTTTTGTTTAGAGAGAGGCAGGGTGGAGTGGGCAAAAAAATGGTGTAAGGGGATATATTTGACAAACGTAGTGACCTCATTGGGTTCAAGGTCCTTAGCGTGAACATCCAGAGTTTTTTTTTCTTCTAGGGACTACAAGGTAGTGGAATCAGAATTATCATAGATCTCTCCTTCCTTTCCTCCCACAGTGAGAATTCTTTTCAGAAAGGTTCTGGATTCCTGAAAAGATCAGTAGGTTTAACCAATTTAAAACATAGGTGTAAGTTTTCCATATACTGGAGAAGTACGCATGCATGCATTCTCGTGCAGCACGTGCACACACATACCTGACTTCTCATCTTTTTCAGATGAGTTCAGTAAAACAGGATCCATGTTGAAAATTCCCCATCTTTGGATTTTTCTGGGGAGAATGTCTCTGAATATGGGTGTGCCATCTTCCATGAGGTCAACCTTTGGAACCCCCCATGGTCACTTCCAGCTCTGCTGATGGCAATATGAATTGTTTCTTCTCCTTCCATCTGTCTACAAATTGTTTGAAAATGTAAACTAATGCAAAGCCTTGGATCTTTATATTTTTATAGAGTGCCTGGGCAGAGAAGGAGAGTACACTAAAGAGATCTGAAAAGGTATGAACAAGAGAGAACATTTTCCCCCCAGATCACAATTATATTTTTCACATAATCACACATTATGACTTGATCATATCTGCAGTGTTGTAGGACTGCATCAAGAGTTCCTCCATCACTACTTCAAGATGGAGGACATTTGTAAGGAGGGGACTAGGTTGGGAAAGGCAGCTTGTGGTTCCCTTTTTTACCCCACCTGCGTTCTGTTGCCCAGGCAGGGCAACAGAAGCGGATGTGACTCGCATGTTCAGCTGATGACTTGCCTTGCTGTATAATTAAGAATATGAATAACAACAATCCCAGCCAGTTTATAGAGGTAATTGTCATCTCATTTTTATTTGTAATAAATGCAATATATTTAATTATTCTGTGGTGCTAAAATGAGTGTCTTCATGACCACATCACCCTGCCCTTCCTCTTTTGTACATACTGTTGAGAAGGATAATCCTTCATGGTTTTTTGGGGAGTGGAATCCCATTTCAAAGCAACAAGCTTTAAGCTGGCCTTAAATTGCTCCCCTTCCCCCGCCCTCCAAGACTAGAGCATCATGACTCAGTCTTCAGGGGCAGGTTTTAGAGCTGACCTTCTTCACTTTTGAGTTGTCACAAACAGGGTGAGGCTTCATGTACAGATGAAAGCAATACCTTCTAACGTTGTCTGTCCCAGTGGCTGAAGGGTCACAATGAAGCATTCCTTATGTCTCACCCAGCAGACTGACTGGCTTTGGTGGAGGTGAAAAGGATGTGCTTAAGTTATTTCTGTCACCATTCCTTCCAGTATTAGGTACTTCACCTGGGACAACAAGAACAATAAGAAATATTACTGTGGTTATTATTAAATTTCTTTACCACTTATTCCTAAAGACTTAGGGTGTGTGAGGAAAAAAAAAGAATCAAGGCATCTGACAATAATTTAAACAGATTGAAACAGAACCAGTAGAAATATAATGGAAAACTGCATATCATATAAAACTACACCTCCATCCTCTGAGATCAACAAATAATACTGATAATCCCTTGGCATAATGCTGATATTTAAAAATGAGCCAGTCACAGCCCATTAAATGCCTGGGAAGAGGGAAATATCTTAATGGGCAAAATCCTGTTCATGTAGTTATGCTGACATAAACGGGATCTGGGTGCTGGACATAATCAATTTCAATGAATCAAAAGCTTCCTGTCTCCCCACTCAACCCTCTGAAGGGCTCTCTTTAGTTCTGGGGAAGCCTTTTGGTGTCATGGGATGGAGGGGGGAACTTTTAATATTCAAAAATTGAGATTGGGACCGCTGGCAGTCCCTTCCCTATTCTAAGGCTCCCAGTGGTTTCCCAGGTCAAAAGGGAGCCCTAGGTTGTCTCAGAACCTGAAAGTGGAGAAGGGGGTAGGGAGCTTTTGATTCGTTTGCATTGATTATTTCCAGCTTCCAGATCTGGTTTCTTCAGTGTAGCTGCATAAACAGGATTTTACCCAATGTCTTTTGTCTTTACTGGCCAGTTTTGTTTGCTGTGGTCTGGATTCCACAGATTAATCTCTGCAATGGGCCATCCATTGGTGGATTATCCCTGAATATTCATTTTGGTAAGTAAAATGAGCGGATACTGTACATGTTACCCTGCTTCCCCAAAATAAGATGTAACCTGAAAATAAAATCTAGTAGGATTTTTCAGGATGCTCGTAATATAAGCCCTACCCCAAAAATAAGCCCCAGTTAAGTTAAACCCTGCCCTCCATCCTTGTGCAGCAACCAGAAGATGACATTACTATACTGTATTTGAATAACTGTAGTTTGTTGTACATAGAAAAAAAATTAAACATACCCTGAAAATAAACCCTAATGTATTTTGGAGCAAAAATAAATATAAGACCCTTTCTTATTTTGGGGGGGAAACATGGTAGTGAGATTGTAAATTGAAGTGGTAGAATTTTGTGCTGTTCCATCTTGGACTTTAAGGAAAAGTCCATATTTTTGTATGCTGCCCTGCAAGGGAGGAAAGAGTGTTTTTGCATATTGTAAACTAGCACATCAGTCAGAGAGCTTTAGTGCCATCTTCTTATCGTGTAGTTCTACAGGAAACAGAAAACACATGTGGGAGAGCATTAAAAATATGGCAGCTCTCCTACCCAGTGTTTGTCATGTGACAGAAAGAAACAAGGTGAGACGTATGGTTTGATTTCCAGGGTGCGTTGTTAACTCATGTGGATTCCTGCACAAAGTAAATAAATAGAACTCCAGGATGCCATCAGTGAGTAACAAGTATTTTCTTCCTTCTGTTCCTCCTTGTTAGAGAGACCGGGAGTTTCTGAAGTCTGCGTTTGTCCTGGTGTATCATGATTCTGTCTTCCCTCTTCTCCAATCTGTGTTCCTCCCAGAGTATAAATGGGCGGAAGAGGAATCTGAAGGCACCCGCTGGCGAATGATTGCTGACTTCCTGAAGAAAAACCGCGAAAGAGATGGTGCTCTGTCTTCTCTGCTCTCATCAGAAAGCCTTCACAGAGCATTTGATATCACAGAAATAGCATATGACTTTTTAGGACAGGCAAGAAAGAGCAGTCCTTCACTATGAATGGACCTTACGCCTCTGCTGATTGCCATGCCAACATGGGTCAATGAAGCTTAATTGATAAGGTTGCCAAAAAAAATCCTGTTCTTATAGTTTTATACCTGATTGCCATGCCAACATGGGTCAATGAAACTTGATAAGGTTGCCAAAAAAATCCTGTTCTTATAGTTTTATATTGTACTTATAATTTGTAAGTGAGTTTTATAAAGACACTATATTGGTACACTACACTTTTTGAATTCAGGTATCATGCTTTCTAGAATATTTATTTTTTAACAAAGTATATAAAATGTTTCTTAACTTTTATGGAACTTTTGTGTTGTGTTTTTAGTGAGTTTCTGTGAATTCTCTTGGACTTCTAGAACAGCTGTTCACATTATAGCAAGTATCAGTTAGTGAATGTTGACATTTACTGTTTGTCTTTAATATTATATAAGACAAGCAGAAAACGTTAGAAATTCTTACCTTGATTAGTGAATTTCAAGAAGCACCATATTTCATCTCCATAAATGTTGCAGCTGATTCTGCGTTGAGACTTTATTTGAAATCATAGAATCATGGAGTCATAGAATAATTGAGTTGGAAGGTCCAACCCCCGTTCAATGTAGAGAATAATTGAGTTGGAAGGGGCCTATAGAGCTTTCAGGTCCAACCCCTGTTCAATGTAGGAATGCAAATCAAAGCAAATCTGACAGTTGGTTGTCCAGTTTTCTCTAGAATGCCTCTAATGGTAGAAATGTTTACAAACATACCTTAGTAAACAGCAGCATTTATTAGCTTGGTTGAAATGAATACATTTGAATTAGCTAGAAGATATGTGGTGTTTTTTGGAGTTTGCTGGTATGTGTGAGTGTGTAATGAATGTTAAGAAGTACTGGCAAATGCCAACATTTGTTTTAACAGGACATCTCAAATTACTGGGCCCAAAGGTTATATTAAGGTCTGCTTCTGGCCTAAACTTTTTGTATATTGTAACTTATTGGATCTGTATTATGCCTCAGCTCTGGGGATTGGTTGGGAATAATTTGTTATCACCATAATGCTGCCATTTGATAATTTCCGTGCTGCTGAAGTGGAAAGAAAAAACACTGTGTTGCTGCAGATGTATATTCTGAATAAGGGATGTCACTAATCCCTTTTCAATGTCTGGCATTACAATTAGAATACTGGTGCACCATTTCAAAACTAGAAAGTAAGATTGTTATTTGCAATATGGGCTGCCTTAGGATTGCTGCCTTCTCTAAATCCTCATAGGGTCCTGGCCTAAATCTCACCAAAGTGACCAAGGCTTAAACCTCCCAAGTGGTACTGTATATAGATAGGGTATATAAAACATAGTACTGAATATAGACATTTGTAGTGCCATTATTTTTAAGATGTTTACTCAGTTGGCCCAAAGCAGGAATCTAGTGTGGCACTTGAGTGGAGATGAAACCGGTTGAGCAAGACCAACCAGAAACAGGTCTTTTTGTTGGACTTCTTCCCAGTCAATTAACAACAGGACAATAGAGGCCTTCAGAGAACCACATCAATATTTCCCATGAAACATTTAGAAAATGTACTGCTGTTATATTCATGTAAGGTTTGCCTCAAGCCCATAAAGTGGGTGTATGTGTTTGTTTATACAGTATATCTGTCTCAATCTCACAGCATTAAGTAATTAATTGCCCATACTTTTTCTCCTCCCTACAGCAAGATGTAGAAATTAACTAAGAATTCAGTCCTCTCAGCTGTATATTTACATCTCAATGATGCATCTTTCACACAAGATCTTTTTCCTTCATGGGTGTGTTTGTATAGAAGCCACACAAAACTACCAAACATCCTCTCACATATTAAAAGAGGATATTCTATTTTGGTTTATAGTACTTCCAGAGAAAGGTAAATACACTGAAAGAAAAACACATGTGGACCCATTTTAGGTTGTTTAAAAAGTTTATACTGCATTCTCTGAAAAGAATGGTATCTTAAGTAGTGTACATATCATCACAACATTATGATTAGCAAAGTAGAGAAAGACAGGGAAAACATCAGTGGTAAGGATTGCAGTACTTCTTTCTATATAATCTTTGCAGCACTGCAAGCTTTGGTGCTCCATCTGAATTCCAATGGCTTGACCTGAAAGGATAGTTGGTGCCTTTTATAGTGCTATTTGTAGGTCTGCCAAAGGCATATTGCTGGCCAGTGTTCAGAACAGGACACTCAACTATATGGACATTGGTCTGTCTGAAGAGAGCCCTGCTTATATTGGGGAGGGAATGGGGAATCTCTGGCCTTTCAAAGGTTTTGTTACTCCAGCTCCCATAACCCTTTGCTATTGGCTATGTTGGATTAGGTTGATGAGAGCGAAAGTTCAAAACATAGAAGGCCAAAAGTTCTACAGTCCTTCCATTCCGATACATTTCAGAGGGGTCTCCTGCTTGGTGTTTTCCCTACGTGCAGCAGAAGGAATAGAGACAGCTAGATCTATTATGTCATCCTAAAGAGAACACTTAACTAGGTTGGTTTACCCCACCATCTGCAAGGAACGTAATGTACTACGCATGTTTTCCTCTAAACATCTAATGTACTCTACTGCACCCACCTAATTCTTTCAGCGAATGGATGTGTGGTCCAGTGCAGTATAAATCTGTTAATCGTTGACATTATTTTGTAGCACACAGAATGATAATGTCAAGATGAAATGAAGGTTGGGTATTTTCCTGAAAATCAGATGACTGATTAGGTCTACAACCAACTGCTGCAATCACATCTGTTCTTAACTTCCAAGTAAACCACTTGTATTTGTCTTTTTTTTAAAAAAGCAGGGATAAGGGCTGGAGAACGTGTTAAGAGTGACAGCTCTTTTTTCCCCTTCCTCTCCTGCCCCTTGTCTTGATACTTTGGTCCCCATTTCAGGCATGAGTTTCCATATTTGTTCCACGGAAGGGTTGGCACATGAGTTTTGAACCAGTAGTAAAATCCTTCTCACTGTGCCTTTGCAAACTCGGGGAAGACATTGTGGATCGTTCTGATCAGCTGTTATTTTCTGCTGGCTGGAGCAGCTGAGCAGCCTGCTTTTCTTAACCTGGACCATGCAACAGAGACATTCCAAATTTAAGTTTAAATTTAAAACAGGGATGAAATTGTTCTTTTTTAAAAAATGCATTTTCTAAAATTTGCAGTCTTACAGAATAAATCACAGCTAATGTTTAAAAGTTTCTCTTTGTAATCAGATGGCTTGAAACCCAACGAGATGAAGACATCTTTTCCAGTAAAATGACCCTGTTAAGCAGCCTTGGATTCTGAAAGCACAGAGCCTTGCAAGTGAAATGGACATCCACCCATGTCCCCTCCTTTTCTTCTCTCCATAGAATATTTGATCTCTGAACCCTCTGTGTAGGGCTTTATTAGTCTGAGCAGAGTTGATGATTATTCTGTGATGATTGCAGCTACCTGCCAAGTTGGAACTAGTTTCACCCTTGACGTCCCATATGGGTGTGTCAGTGGATAGTATTTTAAGCTTCGCATGCCAACAGTTGTGCTGCAGAGATAGATAAGTGTGGTGGAGTTGTAAGTCTAGCTTTTCAGATTTGCATAGAAATGGATAACAAAACTACAGGACCATCTGCCATCACCCCAGCACCTGAATATATTCCTTCTGGACTGGAAATTTTCAGAACAATTCCATATGCCTTTATTTTGCCAGAGCTGGTAAGTCCAAATACTGTTTTGAAATTATTATAGATAACTAATGTACCTACTGAACTTTTAAAAAGAGACTCCATAAATGTTTGCTTCCCTACTATACATATTTGCTGAGGAATAACAGCTAGTGATATTTGCAACTTGCTTGACACTTATTAAGTGTCTGTATACACACACACACAGAGAGAGAGAGAGAGAGAGAGAGAGAATATGCTATAGATAATAAATAAAAGCCATGGCTCTAGATGAGAAAAGCTACTCACTTAACTAAGCTTCCACATATGTATCTAACTGGCTCAGAAGCTGCATGTATTAACTCCCATTGGAGTGCTTGTCTAATGGCTGATGCCATCCATCTTTGTCACAGTACTTTTAATAAGTTGCATTTTTGAATTACTGTGGAAGGTGAGAATGTCAGTTCATGTTTAGGAAACTATCAAAGTTACATTTCTATCAGATAAATTCTAATGGCAAATTTGCTTCAGGGGTAGAAATTTCCAGAGGAGCAGCCTTTTCAGGTTATTGCAAGAAAAATGACAAAGAGTCTTTGTTATTTAAAGGGGCACTTTAAAGACTAGCAAATTTTATCTGACATAAGTGTTCATGCAGCTTACTTCTTGAGATGCATGGAGAGCAGTCTCAGCAGGTAAACTAATAGATTTCCCCCCCCTAGAGACAGTATGCTATACTGTATATCTGAAGTAGTATCCTGTAGCCCTCAAAAACCTGCGCCAAAGAAGACCCACTACTTTTAAGGTGCCACAACATAAGAATTGCTTTATTTTAAATGGGCATCTAGAAAGGAAGCCAAAGGAAATAAAACTGTAACTCTCTGGAAAGCACCATCCCTGGAAGGTCAGTCTCAGTGCATTGAGGAAGGAAAGCCAAGCCTGTGAGTCAATTTGGATCACTGACTGTATAGATCAACCTCCCTGTGCCTGCCGGGCAGCTTCTAGATATATTAGGCTAAAACTGGCCATATTGGGAGTTGTAGCTCAACACATCTAGCAGATACACAGGAGGGGAGGGGATGCTGATACAGATTTTCCAGAGCTTAGTCTGTATCCCTTTTTTGTTTCTCTAGTAGGAAGAAATTTCTGTGGATTCTGGTTTTGGCAGTGTGTTGTTGCATACTCCCTGTTTGGTGAGAAGTTCTAAGAGTAGGGCTAGAGGCTTTGGGCCCTTGCTGTCAGGAAGCATGCTGGAGACTGCTTCAGGTTGCTATTGTCTGCCTTCAAGTTGTGTCTGACTTGTGGCAACCCTAACAGGGTGTGTAAGGTGCTCAAAGAGTCGTTTACCATGGCCATCTCCCCACTGAGTCTCCACAATTGGATGAGAATTGGAATCCAAGTCTCCCGACTTCTAATCCAGCCTTGTATCTACTACACTCTCTGCATCATCACTTGCCACTTTTAATTGGGGAAGCTGGGAACTGAATCTGGGCAGTCTATTAGGTATACAAATATATTATACATATATTTTACATTAGGTATACAAATATATTATACATAATTGTAATATTTGATTGATTGATTGATTTGTTTGTTTCTATCCTACCATTCTGCCAAAACTTCCGTAACCTCAAACATGATGACAAAAAGTCTTCTCACATAGGCTTTGGTTGGCTGGATCAGATTTAGTGTGTTGGGGTCAATCTCTCCCCTCTCGCCCCCCAATTTCTTTGTGGTTGCATAAATCATTCCACCACCTGCTGACATTCACACTGTTGCTAGAAGGGTTTCTGTGAAGAGAAGTAAACTCCTTCAGTTATGACATCTCTGAAATTAATAGTGTTGTGTAGCACTTCCCAGATCATGTTCATGTTTTCCCTATTCATGGGAATTTGAGTTTTTAATGGAGGTTTTTAAAAAATGCTGATGTTTCATCATGGACCCAGGCAAGGACTGGGTGGAGTGTCCCTAAAAGGGCACATTATGGTTTGGGTGTCTATCTGCTTGCTCTTATTCAAGCCTGGATCAGACTATGGGGCATCTACACACCCACAGTTATCTTGTTCAAAATTCAGATTCTGAACTCTCAGAACCACACTTAACCATTGGCTCCTGTTGATGGAAGCACAGCTGATCAGATTGGACTATTCAGGCAGTGGCCCAGCTAAGAAAACTGAGCAGCCGCTAACATTGCATTAGAGCCCTCAATCTGGCTCATCCAGGAGTTGGGGAACCACTCTTTCTCCATTCTTAATTATTTATCTCCTAGAGGCTGATTTGCTAGAAGCATATAATGACATGTTGGACTTTCTGTTTGGGAGAGTTATCAGCAGTTAAGCCCTAACACAATAATACAATCACCAGTTAAGATTCATGGCTGGCCTTGGGAATTAAATCATGAAGGATTTAATTAGAGGTGTTTTACAGGTGAAAGACTAGAGAGGATTAAGAGGGACTAGAGGACCAGGACTTCCCAAAAGCCATAGCTGCCAAACACTACAAGATTATGAGAGTTTTTTTTTTTGGGGGGGGAGTTGTACTCTCTCATCCCATTGTTTTGCTCCCTCTGCAATGCCTGTGAACTATATGGGGGGGTGGATTTTAATTCTGTCAGACTTTGCATTTGATGAAAGCAAATTGCTTCTGGATATTATTAGTGGTTCTATTTAGCCAGAGTTGCAGCAGTAGTAGCTAATTAATAGTAATAGGTAATTGGCGGAAGTGACCAAAGAGTAATAATAACAGCAAGACGCAGCCGCTGCTTTGTAGAATGGAAACCTTGTGCTCCTGTAATCTGACTAGCACACCTTATGACCTCACTGTTTTGGAATGTTCATTTGAGAGTGTGGTGGGTCATACATTTTCAGATAAAGAGATGGCGCAGAGGCAAATCAAAGGAATAATAGCTGCAAAGAGGCATGAAAAATACTGCAAAAGAGTGGAAAGGAGACTTTGTTCTCTGACCAGGCCTTAATCACACCCAACAAAACTATTTCACATCAGAAGTCAAACGTAGGATTATGACCATGATATGCTATGGGTGTCTGCCTTCCTGCCTAAATGTTGCATTCAGAGCTTGAAGGGAAGAGAAGGCAGTTCACTCAGAATGATGTGGGAAATAGCTGAAGCTAGAATGGAGCAAGGGGAGAAGGAAGCAAGACTTGTGAAGGAAAACAGGATGTTCTAGGTAGGGAGATGGTTTGCACGCTCTCTCCTCACCCTAGAACATTTCTTTTGTTTCTGTGCCTTGATTTAGTTATTTAGGCATGTGTAGACACTGTTTTTTCCCCTTTCTCATAGCCAGCTGCAGCCAGGTAGTGGTTATCTGAACTGCATGCAGACATGGGAGCACACCTCAGAGTTCTTAGAGGGAATACAGATTCACAGTGCAATCCTCAGACAGCCTGGACCCAAGTTGGCCTGGACCCTGGGTTTACAGGTCATAAACCCAGAATAGGGCTTGGAAACAGACTGGCAGCCAGTGAAGCTGCTATAGCAGGAGAATTTTATGCTCCTCCTTACCAACACTGGTCAACAGGCTGGCTGCAGCCTTTTGTACCTGTTGAAGCTTCCAAACAGTGTTTGAAAGCAGTCCCACACAGGGTGCACGGAGGTAAATCCAAGAAGGATGTGACTACTGTACGTATTACTATAGCAAAATCAGACATCTCAAGATGGTTGCTTGTGATGGCTAAAAATGGTCAGAAGCTTTGTGCTTCTGGATGCAAGATGTTGAGAGGGCTTTCTTGCTTTGTTTGAAGGCTTCTCAGAGGCATGGATCACAAGGAGTAATAGATGCTAATAGAGGGGCTTTGATCTTCTCAGAACTGGTAGAGTAAGGGCGGCCACCCTAGGTGTTTTGCCTAAGCACTGTAGGAGCCACCAAGCGATCCCGCTTAGAAGACTCCGTGCAGCCTGCCCTAAAGTCTCCAAACTCCCCAGTTTCTCAGAAATGTTCTTCTCTCCCTTATACTCTTCATTTCTCCTTGTTTTCCTAGAGACTGCAGTCTGTGATTATTCTTAAGGAACTTGCCTTTTAGGAATAAAATCTAAGAAAACACAACTACATTCTTAAGAAAATCCTTTTGAAATAGTACATAACTCTGTTACGTACATCTGAGGCACTGAGAGTCCGATTTTAAATTTTGTGTTTTCTAAACATAGCATTACCCCTCCCTGGCCCTGAGAACCTGTCTGATTGCTTCTCAACAAGGAGGGTGGATCACTCCCTCCCTTGAGAACGATCTTTGCTCATCAGCCCTCAATGAGAGTATCGGGCTGAGTAAGCAGAACTTATAAAGCACCTGTCGGTGGATATGAAAAGTTCAGTGTCAGTTTTGGTCCGTTTCCCCCCCCCCCTTCAGTTCTTGGTATTTAAGTTGGAGGACGTTCTGGACACACCTCTGCAAAATATGTGCCAATGTTTTTACAGCAGCTTCTAAATAGTTATCCAGGAACTAAAGTCCAGAGAAAACTATGTGGTCATATTGTTACTTTGGAATTAATAATCTGGAAGATTTGTGGTGTTGTTATTTGCTTCTGACTGATGAATTGGTGACCCCTAAAAAGTCCCACAAAAAGTCTTGCAAACTCAAGGCTGTGGCTCTCTTTAAGTCAATCTATCACCCTCTAAGTCTTCTTTTCCTATTACCTTCCCCTTTTCCCTGCCTAATTGCCATTGAGCCTTGTCTCCTCGTGATAGATTTGAAATAAGATATCTTCACCTGATTCAGAATAGCTTCTTTTCTGGTGGTTCGTGGTGTCCGTACTGCTCTTCTCCAGTGTCACATTTTGGATGAATTGATTCTCCTCAACCCCCCTGTGAGCTTTCTTCATTGTCCAGCATTCACACCTGAGGATTTATGCTGGTGTAAGTGTAACTGAGTAAACTGTGACAGCAAAGTGCCTCTGCTTAATAAGCTGCCCATTTCCATTTCTCGATGTACACCAAGTGGCACAATTAGCACACCTAAGCATGTGAGCAGCAACTTATTAATTAGCTGCAACTCAATGTGATGATTTACACAAATCATATCAGCATAAATCCCTAGCATG